CAATTAAATGACTTTTTATTTTTAAATGCCAGAGGCACATGCGCACAGGACAGCTAAGGGGCAGGGGACTGTGTGTCCCCTCTCCTCCATTTCTCCATCCTGTCGGCACACCACACGTGCTCGGCGTGGTCTCTGAGCTGGTCAGCCATGTGGGATGTGAACCCCTCCGCACAGTGCAGAACTACTGTGCTGCACAGCCAGCTCTCCAGGGACGGTGAGTGAGGTTATTGGAAGCACCTAGCAAAGGCTCTACAAATTATCCTAAGGCATTCTCTAGCAGTAGCCAATAATAGGACACATGAACCAAGGGCCAAGTCTCACGACCACCAGCTCAGAAAAGACATCAGTGGGTACCTTGATCTACCACCAGGCCCCTCCCTCCTCGTCTGTCTGGAGAGATTTGTACACGAAACAGATCAGGTAGGCCAGCAGGTGGCCCTGAGGTTAAGGCAGCTGGATCCTTATGTGGTTCAAGTCCTGGACCTCGTGAATTGAAAACTGAGCCAGGAAAATGTGCGTGTATGCCCAAAATCCTTAGCAGAGGTGTGGCCATTTCCCCTTAGGAGTGGCTTCTCACTTTCTCTCTCTTTTGCTCCCTCCCTCCCTCTCTCTCTGACAAGCACACACGTACAATAGCAAAACTGACAGGGAAAAATAAAACACAGACCAGGGCCTAGCTCACTGCCCTACTCCCTCCATTCACCCCGCAAGCAGCAGCGTACTATGAATGGCCTAGTAAACAGTGCTCCTTGATCTACGGTGTTCACAGGCAACCAAGCCTCTCATCGCTAAGAAGTTCGACGAAGTCCAGGTTTGGAAACCATGAAACAGAGGTAGACTTACCTACAACTCACTCTCCTTTGTACCACTGACACAGAGGCAACTCTCTGTTCTCTCATCCAGGGCTGATAACCTTCTAGCCGTGATCTAGACGCTAGAGGACTAATCCCAAGAGCAAAGTCAAACCGGGACTGAGCTTAGGCGAGTTATTTCACACCTGTGACCCTCCATTTCCTCACTGTAAAACAGGGGTAGGAAAGTACTCACCACACAGAACTCTCCCAAGAAGTAACGTAAGTACCAAGTATGGTGTTTCCAAGCAGGTGAGCTCAAAGCCTTCCTCTTCCTCTGACTCCTCGTCTTCAGAAACCTCACTCCATCCGTCCGCTTTCTGACCTCCCTCTATAAGCAGCATCTCCCTGTGTGCGGCTAAACATACTAAAGTCTTGGCCACGTTTTAAACACCAACACACACACACACACACACACACACACACACGCACAGTCGACCTCACGCTCTCCCTCCACCACTCCAGTGTCCTCTCCTACGCTAGTGAGTCTGAAGATTTGGTCTACAGCTACCCTCTACCTCTACCTCCGGATCCTTCATTTACTCCTTAATCACGTCACTTAAGATCTTGCCAAAGTGAAGCATGCCCTGACCGCAGAAGTCCATGACAACGTTCAGTCCAGTGGACGCCATCCCATTGAAGCCCACAAGATCTCTCTGCAGCCTGGCACCAACCCTCAGCACCTGTTTCCTGAGACGTTCCTCCCCAGAGTCCCGAGCACCACATTCATGCTTTCCGTCCGTATCCATGTTTACAGGCTGGTCTCTGCTCCTGATGAAAAGAACTGACAAACTTTATCTGTCTATACCCCTTTGCCAGAAACTATGGCATTTATTTTCCTTACGGAGTAGGATCTGTTGCACAGCTAGAAAGAAACCAACCCAGAAGGGACACTATTCTACTGGGATCATTATGGACATTCTTAAAAATGCAATCCTTTGGGACCAGCAGTTGGCGTAATGGCTATGTCACTGGACTCCCATGTAGTCGACCGCAGTTCAAGTCCTAGACCTGGTGGCTTAAACTCACATCAGGCGCGTGTGTGTGTGTGCCCAAGATCCCGAGAGGAATATGGAGAAGAGATTGCAGCATGGTCATCCCCCAAGGGGAGTGATTTTTCGCTTTCTGTCTCTCTGTCTCTCTGGCGAGCACACACACCCTATAGCAATAACCTCTCCCAAAAGAAGCAATCTTTTTTTTTAAAAAAGGATTATTTTATTCTACTCTATCCAATCCCATCACATACCTTACAAGATGACAGCTACAAGAAAGAACCTTAAGATGATTTTCCTTTTCAGTCTGAGACTATTTCTTCTGATATATACTAATACAGCCCACGTCCTCTCCAACTCCTTCACCCACAAAAACACAGGTGTCCCCATATACCTACCCACTCATACATCTAGATCCGCCCACCCACTGGGACACAAAGGCACGCCAAGAGATGCACACCCATCATGAATCAGCAGGCAGTAATGAGTGGAAAGGTAGATGATTTGGATGAGTTAAAGAGGAAAAAATGTAAATTGCAAAAAGGAAATGTGTAGAGTTGTAAGTGCACAAGTGAACCACTGACAGAAACAATACAAAAGGCAATTTACACTTGCCATTTCTGTTTTCCACTTACATGCTGGAACTAAAGCAATTATTTATAATGATGCACTGAAACCCGGGTCATTTCTGAAAATGACAGTCATACCTTGCTCTCTACACACCCTACCAATACCATGTTTAATTCGAAATGCAAAATAGTCTCCACTTTAAAACTACAAAGTGGAGACGAGCAGGTGACAGGGAGGTTAGGGTGCTGGATCCCACATGGCTGACTGCAGCTTGAGTCCTAGACCTGGAAGCTTAGACTCATGCTGGGCACGTGTGAGTGCACACCCAAGATCCCAAGAGGAGAATGGAGAAGGGACTGCAACATGGCCATCCTGCCTGGAGGGTGATTTCTCTCTCTCTCTCTCTCTCTCTGGAAAGTGCACATGCCCTATAGCAAAACTAAAAACAAAAAAACTACTAAGTGGCCAGGCAAGCCTACAAAAAAAGTGTTCCTGAAGTCTCAAGAGGCCAGGTGGTATGGGAGTGGTAACACAACTGTACTCACATGGGAAAGGTCCTGGGTTTGTGTCCTGGGACCTCTCTGAGCACCTACGCACGTGCATGCGTGCCTGTGACATGGGCCAGCTGAGACTAGGGAAGGGCCCTAGCATGGAGGCCTGGGCTCACATGCTCATCTTTCTCTTTCATATAGAAAATAAAACCTTAAAATAAAAAATAAAGGCTGACCCCACAGCACAGCAGTTAAGTGCTGGGCATAGAAAGCTGGATTCCACATGGCCCACAACAGCTCCAACCCTAGCCCCAGCAGCTTGAAGAACATGCTGGCTGCCATGTGCGTGCGCTCCAAAATCTCGACTAGAGGAAAAAGGACTGAGATGGTGAGTCCTGCAGGTCCTCTCCCCTCGGTCACTTCCAGGGACCCAAGACGACTGTTTACTTTTACTTCTGGGCTGCCTCCTGCCCTTTTCTCTCAGTTCCAGTGCCTTAGCTACCTCACTGAAAACCTGTTCATCCAGCTAAAGAATCCTCCCCCTCACTCTGATGACGAAAAGGGAAAAGGCTCCTACACTATTCCAAAAAGAAAAGATTAAAATCGTATCAGGAGGGCCAGAAACCAGGGCAGGAGAGGTAGAGAAGATGCTCCACAGGGCCAACAGCCCCAGCAAGCAGCTCTAGTCAGTTCGGTTTGGTTTGTCTGTTTGTTGGGGGCATTTTTATTTTTTATTTATTTTTAAAAAATTTTTAGAGAGATTTTTTGCTTTAGGGCATATGTGCTTGCAGGGAGACAGAAAGTGAGAAATCACCACCACCACCACCCGCCCCCTAGTAAAGAGAGGCACACTGCAATCCCTTCTCCTCCATTTTCCTCCTGGGATTTTGGGCGCACACACACACACACACACACACACACACACACGACCTGGTGTGAATTTTAAGCTGTTGGATTCGGGATCTGAACTGTGGTTGACTAAATGGGAATCCAGTGACGTAACCATTAAACCACCTATTTACTGGTCCTTTATCTTATGTTGGGTTTTTGCCATAGGGCGTGTGCACACACCAGAGAGAGGGAAAGTAAGAAACCATCCCCACCGCAATCCCTTCTCTTCCACTCTCCCCTAGGGACTCTGGGCATACACACACCCAGTGTGATTTTCAAGTCACCAGGTCCAGGACTCAAACCATTAACCACCATGCCACCTGCTGGCCAACTTTTTTTTAAGGGAGATTTTTGCTATAGAGTACACACGCTGGCCAGAGACAGAAAACAAGACAACACGCCCACCCCTGGGGGGGGGGGGGGGGGGGGGGGGCCATGCAGCAATCCCTTTTCCTCCATTCTCTTCTCAGGATTCTGGGCACTCACGTGCACGTATCCAGTCTGAGTTTCAAGCCTCTGGATCTGGGACTCCAACTGTGGTCGGCCACGTGGGAGTCCAGCAATGTAACCACTATGCCATCTGCTGGTCCCCCATTTTGATTTCTAAAAAATCATCAGTGAGATGCTCTGTCACCAGTGTGGCCTTGGAGCAGAGGGCCACAGCTCGTGTAGCAAACTCGCACTGTAGATTTATGAGGAACACAGTATGCAGTGTTTCTTCCCTCTTCTGAGAGCTTTCTTTTGTAAAAGAAAAATTAAGCACTTTTTAAAAGCTGAAATCTGTGAATGGGAATAGAAGGTAGACCACTCCTCTGATTATTCACCTAAAAACCTCATAGGACTATGAATTCACCCAAAATTGCATCTGCCACCAGGCCAAGGTTTTAAAGAAAAACTGTTCTCTAACCGGATTGTAACAGAACTATGAATACTATTTCAGAGTTGAAAACGAATGGTTCAAAATATGTGTGTATGTACTGCATTTTTACAATGCCTGTATGACCACAGGACTACCCCGCCCCTTCTGTACACTTACCTATATTCCAGAATCGTTTCCTTCCTTTTCTCCTGTGGTCTCCTAACCCAGTAACTGTGTTATTGCCATTAAAGGATGTAGTTATTTAACAAAAACTGTATATGACATCATGTTAAGACACAGTATGGTTCTGTCCAGTGCTAAGAATGGAAAAAGACGTAACACTCACAATTTTCACACTCAGGCTTGAAACTCCATGATCATGAAGTTCATCTTCAAACAAGAGAACCTCTTCAAAGAACTTAATCTGCTCTCTGGCTTTCAATTTCTCTGTATCTATATGATCTGTTGTAGGTACAACCTGAAAGGAAAAAGAAGACATACATACAAAATATAATATATACGCACACACAAAAGGAGCTGAAGAGATACAAGGAAGCAGTTTTCCCATCAGTCTTTCTTTTTAGCACATAGTTCTAAATTTGTTGGTCATCAACAACAGATATCAAAGGGCAAAATTTGCCTTAACTCTGAAAAACTAGACACTACAGATACCTGTAGCTTCACAAAAAAGGTCAAAATTCATCACCTTTCAACAAACCCAGGGTTCTACTGAGGCTATGCTGTGGTTTGAATGTCTTCCCTAAAGTTTATGTGCTGGAAATTTAACCCCCAAGGTCGTGTTGGGAGTTGAGGCAGGAGAGGTGACTCAGGATTCTGACTAGATTAACACCAGGACAGGAGTGGTCTGTCATTTAGGAGTGGGTTCCTGGTAACAGCATGCGTTCTGCCACCTCCCTCCCACTCTCTCCCCTTCTCTCAGCCTCTCACCTACTGCCACGGGACGACACAGACAGAAGGCCCTCACCAGATGCTGGCACCTTGATATGATTTTCAAGCCACCAGGTCCAGGACTCAAACCATGGCTGGCCAGAGCCTTAACCACCATGCCACCTGCTGGCTGAATTTTTCTCAGCCTTCTTCTCTTTATACATTGCCCCGTCTGTTGAAGGATTGAAAACAGACTCGGACAGTTAGAAAATAAATCATCTGAAAAGCAGTCAGTGTGCTGAACTACTGCTATCACAGGTCAAAGCAACCACAAAAGCCCACTTTTAAGGCATTCGCTTGAAACTGAAACATATTTCCATTAAAACGTTACAAATCTTAGACTGCCAACTCTCCAAAATCTACAAACAAAATGTTTTTATTTTAAATAACAAGATAAACAAGGGCTTTCAGAGAAACTGTGAGGGGAAACTCCTGCTGTCAGCAAAGGGCTTTGGACATGCTGGTCATTCGCTCCCTGAACTGTCCCTGCCTCAGACACAGCCATGTGTAACCCAGGGAGACATCAACCGTCCCTGCCGTATCGGCCGCTCAAGAAAACCAACCACTGTGACGCCACTTCCTGCCACATCCGATTTCACTACTAAGTGTCAGCTTCTTTATTCCGTAACATGGCTTACCATAAACACAACAATGCCCGTCAAACCCTTGGAAAGGACGGCTATTGTCTTATCTCACTGAACTGCCTGTCATCAAGTCGTCTGACTCCTGTACACAGTGAAGAGACGGAGAGTAATCTGAGATGACTGCACGACAGTGAGAAGATGGAAAAGGATGTTCAAGACTGCAAAGATTTGGGGGGAGATTTAAGGGAGAATTAAGTGATGTAGCGGGGAGACGTTGCTATAAAAACTAAGCAGTTTGTGCATGTAATTCCCAAGAGATTTAAAAAAAAAAGTCCACAGCTTGTCCACGTTCACCGTCACATTAGCCCTCTGCAGCTTCATTCTGAAATGCATGGGGAGCAGACAAGACCGTCGGTGGAGGTGAGCAGCGTGAGAGGAGGGGAACTGGGATCCAGCGAGAGGGCGTAACCAGCCCTCTGCAAAACACGGGCCTGATCTACTACGGGGAGAGCTGGCGTCTCCATGACTGCCTCCGGTCCTGACAGTGTTAAAGAGACGTAGCTCACCAATTCCTGAATCTCTACTTAGTTTAGTTCAAAGAAACAAGTCTGTAAGATCCTAAAAGATACTCTGGATTGTCAAAAAATGAACTAATACATGAATTTCCTTATCAGTGAATGGCTACTTCACTGTCTTACCTATGTCAGAAAGTAATGAGTCAAAAAATCAATCATTTTGTTGCTATAAAATGTCTGAAGAGAAAGACAAGATGAATACACCTAAAACTTTGAACTTTCAGCCCTCTCTTTTCCTCAACTCCACTTATCTCCTCCTTGAACCAAAAAAAAAAAAAAACCTACTCAACTTAAACCCTGCTATTTTGGCTTCCAATACTGACAAAAAACAAAGTGCCTTGCAGAAGAGGCTGAAGGGGTCAGCAGGTGGTATAGTGGCCGACCGTGGTTTGAGTCCCAGTCCTGGCAGCTTGAAACTCCTGACGGGCTCGTGTGTGTGTGTGTGTGTGTGTGTACCCCGAATCCCAGGAGGATAATAGAGGAGAAGGGATTGCGGCATGGCCATACCCCCGGGGATGATTTCTCACACTCTCTCTGTCTCTGTCTCTGTCTCTCTCTCTGGTCAGCGCACATACCCCACAGCAAAAATCTCTGGCTAAAAACAAACACCATCACCAACAAAAAGCTGGCTGAAAAATACACGGATGTCTTAAAGGCATCAATACTGGGCTGAGAGCTGGAAATGACTAGAACCCAGAAAAGTGAGCCTGTCCTTGGTTGCTGCTATAGCTTGAATGTGTCCCCCAAAATTCACGTAGTCAGCCACTGTAATGGGACTGGGAAAGTGAAAACTGAATTTGGGAATGGCACGGCAAGGAGGGGCTTTTGGGAAGGGATCAGTGATTGGGAGGTGAGGGGGGCCTTCCATGACTGAATTCTCGTGGGTTTATAAGCAGAGGGAACGAGCCCAGAATAGCAGAAAGGTCACAGGCCACTCCACTCTGCTCAGAGTGCCGCCTTCTGCCACCGTGTGATGAACTTCCCAGCCATCAGAAATTGAGTCAGTAAGCCCTCATTTCTTTATAAATCACCCCATCTCAGGTATTTCAGACAGCAATGCAAAACAAAGTGACAGTCCCAGGCCAGCAGGCGGCATGGTAGTTGGGGTGCTGGACACCCACATGGCCAAGCATGGATCAAGCCCTGGACCGCAACTTGCTTTCTCACTTGCCCTTTTCATTCTCTCTAGTCAAATTAAAAAATAATAGTAACAAATTAAAAAATCTTTTTTTCCCACACTACTGGAAAAGATATGATTTATTTATAAATTAAAGCAAATGAACAATTTACAGCATCTCAAAGGTTGAAAAAAGTGACACAGTACTAAATACACAACTTTTGATTTTGTTCAGATTCAGTTTTTATGGGTTTTTGTTGTTTAATAATTTTCCTATAGGGTGTATGCACTTGCTGGAGAGGCAGAGCGAGCACAGCGAGTGCACTGCCCAGGGGGAGGCCACCGTACAATCCCTTCTCCTCCATTCTCCTCACCGGATTTTGGGAATGCACACGCACACAGCGTATTTCTCAAGGTACCAGGACTAGGACTCAAACTGTGTAGTTGGTCATATGGGATCCAGACTTTTTAACCACCATGCAACCACTTGGCCTGCGCTTGTGATTTAATTATACAAAGATTTTTTTCCCCCGAGAAAGAGAGAGAGAGAGAACCTGCCCAGTGGGGTATACACACTGCAATCCGCCCTCAGCCCCAGCCAGAGGATAGTTGGCTCGGCTGGCTTTTGGTGCCATCACTGTCCAGGGCTCAGAAAGGGTAGGAACTGCAAGGAATTTCCTGTCCTCTCCCAGGTGGAGAGGACACCCGAGAGCCGTCCGGGCACACGGCGTCCTGTTAGCAGACCCGGTACCCCTAAGACGTGGGTCAGAGCTGCCCTGCTGATTTCCGTATGGACTGCAAGCTAAAAACGGGCTTACGTTTTTTAAACGACTCATGAGGGGAGCGAGGGGTATCAAAAGAAAAATACTTTACCACACATGAAAATGACATGCAATTCAAATTTCCCGTTCATAAATAAAGCTTGATTGAAACACGGCCACGCTGATTCATTTACGTATCTGTTGAGTGCTTCAGCAGGCCACAGCAGGGCCTAGAGGCTGCTGGAGACCCTGCGGCCTAAACTATTCACCATCTGGCCCTGCACGGAAAAGGCGTGCTGACATCTGTCCTTAACTAGGAACATCCTCAAGTGCTTGTCAGATAGAAACGAAAATCCTCTTTAGAGCAAAAAATCACATCCCTAGGGTTCAAGTAAAAATAAAGAGGTATGTTAGGGCCTAAACATCGTAAGTCAGAACCAACAGAAACAACGGACAATTCAAGAGCCAAGGGACTCCAGAGACAGATCTTAAGGCCCGTCTCCGCTCAGGCTACAACAGAGCAACACACCCGGGGTGGCTCCTCAATGAATGTCTTGTGGTTCCTGAGGATAGGAGTCCATGATCAAGGATCAGACTAGGTGGCTCGTGAGGGCTTATTTCCTAGCTCACAGACAGCCGATTTCTTGCTGTGCCCTCAAATGGTAAAAGCAGCAAGGACAGCTCGTGGGCTCTTTATAAAGACACTAATTCCACCCACCAGGGCTCTGCCCACATGGTCTAATCACCTCCAAAGGCTCTACCTCCTAGTACCAGCACCTTAGGAGTTTAAGATTGCAATACAGGGGACCAGCAGACAGCATAATGGTCACGTCACTGGACTCCTATGTAGACCTGGTGACTTAAAACTCACGTGTCCAAGATCCCAAAAGGAGAATGGAAGAAAAGGGACTGCAGCATGGCCATCCCCCCACGGGGCGATTTCTCACTTCCTGTCTCTGTCTCTATCTCTCTGGAGAGCTCACGTGCCCTATAGCAAAATATCTTTAAAAAAAAAAAAAAAGGTTTCAATATAGGAAACACTAACATTCAAACCACAGCAAACTCCAACCTGGGTGAGGGCAAAAACATGTAATTTTTAAAGTTTATTTATTTCTTCCATGAGAGAGGGAGGCAGAGGAGGCAGGATCCCAGCGGAGTCTGTAAAGCACAATCCTACCCCCAGCCTCAGCCAGCCAGGGTTACGGGTACACATGCTTGGAGTGCATGGGAGAGCACAGGACACAAACCCAGGGCCTCCCGTGTGGTCTCAGCACTGTGGGTGTGCAGACCACTGTGCCGTCCTGGCTGGCCCCACACTGATTTCAAGGAAATAAAAGCAAAACCTGAAATTTGTGAAAGAATTGAGAAATGACTTTTTTAAAAACAAGAATAGAATCAGGAAGGGTCATGCCAGGGGCTCCTAGGGAGCTCACAAGCATGCTTCTCTTTTCTGGGCATTTATATTTTATAATCATTATGCTGTAACTTCTATGTTTTAGAAACCTTTCTTCAGGGGTTATTTCACAATTGTAAGAGGCTTAAAAAGCATACTACATGGGGGCCAGCAGATGGTGTAGTGGTCAGGATGGTTCAAGTCCCGGACTGGGCAGCTTACTTTCTCACTTTCTGCCCTCTCTCTCTTCCTCCCTCTCTCCCTCTCTCTCTCTATCTCTCTCTCTATATATATATACACACACACAGACACATATATGTGAAATGAAAAAATAAACTAACTTAAATAAATCCTAAAATCAAAACAAAAAAAGGCACACTACATTCTTGATACAAGAAAAATAAGTCCTGTCCTTATCTTTCGTGAGACCTTTCTCACATTAGAGGCTGACAGGACATTGACTGTGGTGTGGCCATCCCTCTGGTGGGTGCTTTCTTTCTCTGTCCCCCGCCTCCCCCAGCTCTGGCAAGCACCTGCGCCCTATGGCAAATTAAAAACCAAACAAGAGTCTGTACCTATACGAAGTGAAATATGACTCTTACTCATCTCTCAACTCCCATCCCTTACCACATGGCTTGTCCATCCTCTCCCCCTTGCCGGCCTGTACATCTCCACTCCCACGGTGAGAAGCCTTGCCCTCCCACTCACGTCCACTGACATCGTCCACTTCCAGTACACACGTGGAACAGCCGCAGAGCTCTGAACCTTACTCTGTGGAGAGAACTTCGTCGACTAGTGTGCAGGACTTCTGTACAGTTCCTTTAGCCTTCAGTCTCAGAAACACCACTGATCTCCAACATTTAGATCAACACGTTTTTCCCTCTAGATTTACTTGTAAAAGCTCTAGCTATTAAAACAACACAAGGGGACCAGCAGTTGGCGTGGTGGTTAAGGCACTGGACACTGCCACATGGCCGACCACAGTTCGAGTCCTGGACCTGCTGGGTTGCTTTCTCACTTTCCCTCTCTCTGTGTGTGGGTCCCTCTCTGGTCAAATAAATAAATAAAAAATTTTTTAAAAAAAAAAAAAAAAAGAACACATGAATGGCCAGTAACCATTAAGAAAAGCTGCTAAACATCACTAAAGCTGCTCAATCTTCCCTGATGACTATCAGGGAAATGCAAATTAAAATCATGAGAAATCATCTCACATCTATTAGGATGTGGCTGACATCGAAAAGGAAAGGAAAGGAAAGAGAAGAGAGGAGAGGAGAGGGGAGGGGAGGGGAGGGAAGCATTTTGGTATAAAGCCACCACACATTAGGCTTCTTGGTGTAATCAATGAGTCCATTTTATAGGTACCGTTGTGTACACATTCTTTTTTTTTTTTTTTTCCCCTAATTTGCTAACGGGCACATGTGCTCTCCAAAGAGAGAAAGACCCACAAAGCGATGCAAGAGAAGGAACCAGTGAGGGTGTGGGAGAACCGGAACCTTAAACACCCCGGTGGAAAGGTGCAGTGGTACCAGCACTCTGGGACACACTGTGAGGGCTCTGCAGAAAACAAACAGAACTGCCACGCGATCCAGCAACGGCACCCGTGGGCACGCATCCAGAACGGGACGCAGCATCTTGAGATATTTGCACACCCTCCTTCACAGCAGCACTAGTCACAGCAGCCAGGAGGTGGAGCACCCAGATGCCCATCAACATTTGAACGGGTAAACAAAGTGTGTTATGTGTACGGAACATTATTCAGCCTTAAAAAATAAGGAAGTTCTGCCTCATGCTACAGCACGGGTGGCCCCTGAAGACGTTACGTCACGTGAAATAAGTAGCTCAAAACAGACAACTAACGTATGATTCCACTTTCATGAGGTATGCTGCGCAGACAGATGCATACCATTACAAAGTAAAAGGGTGGGTGCCAGGGGCTGGGGTGGTGGGGCGGGTCACAGTCGTTTGGTGGTACAGCAGCATCTCAAGGTTTACAAGAAGAGAAGTGAAGGAGATTGGAGGCACAGTAATGCGAATATACTTAACACACTTAGAAATGGTTAAAATGATAAATTTCATGTTCAAGACATTAAATCATGCTGAACGGGCTTGACAAACATTCCACATGTACTTACAAATAAAAAGCCGCCACTACTGCTTGTAAGTTCCCATCTCCTTACTCCTGGTAATGAAACAGCAAATGGCCTACACTCTGCAAACTCTCAGTCAGAAGAGAGGAGAGGGGACACTCATCCATAACGCGTTATCAGGGCCTGACGCACTTGCTCTGCCATCAGACTGGAAAATAAAAATTTGTCTGTCCTCTGCTATGTCCACAGCAACCAAGATTAGTGTCTGAGACTGACATACTAAAGATCTCAAGAAATATTTGTTGAATGAAATGTATGCATAAATATTCTCTCAAGTATTGTGTTTCTGCCCTGGAAACACTGAAAAATAGTGAAAGCTTAGAATGTAAGAATGGCAAAAGTTAAAGAACTATATAAAATTCTACTATGAACGTCTGTCTCCCTGAGACGCTCACAATCTCTGCAGACAAGGAGCCTATATGCAACCCTATGTTCTCAGCACTCCTGTCTAAGCACCAACAAAGGGTACAGGGTTTGCTCAGCAACTACTTTTAATGTAAACAGTTTATACTGAAATAGCTTCGTTCTCTGTAATGGCATGTGGTACTCAGAGACACGTGACCTAAGCCAAATTTGCTTCATCTCAGTCATCCCACAGACTTTCAGCAAGCAGGTGAGCTCCCAGTGAGACCTACCAAGTCCACTTCCTTGTGTCATGTACCACAGACTGAAACTCTTCTTTAGCAGGGTTTACAAAGACATAGCTCAGGACCAGCAGATGGAGTGATGGTTACGTCGCTGCACTCCCATGTAGTTGACCATGATTCGAGTTCCAGTTTCAGCGGCTTAAAATTCATGCCGGAGGAGACCAGCAGGTAGCGTCATGATTAAGGTGCTGGACACTCCCACATGACTGATCACAGTTCAAGTCCTGGACCAGGTGGCTTGCTTTCTCACTTTCCCTCCCCTCTCTGGTCGAATTAAAATAAATGAATGAATAAATTTTAAAAATTAAATCAATAATTCTTTAAAAAAAAAAAACCTCACACCAGACAAATGTGCATGTATGGTCCAAATCCTGAGAGGAAACTGGAGAAGGGATTGCAGCGTGGCCATCCCCCTGAGGGGATTTCTCACTTTCTCTCTGTCTCTCCAGCAAGTGCATGCACCCTATAGCAAAAATCTCTATTTTTAAAACAAACAAACAAAAACAAGACACCACTTAACACTCTTACAGAGCGTTAAATTCACTGAGACCTTTTTCTCATAAATTATTTTATATCAAAACTCTTCTGTATAGCTGGCCCCATAGCACAGGGATTAAGAGAGCCAGATCCCACACAGCTGACTGCAGTTCAAATCCTGGCCTTGAGAACTTGAAAAACAGACACCTGTCAGGAAAGAGAAACGGAGGAAACGGGATTGCAGCATTTGGGTGTACATGCACCACCTTGCGCTCCCCCTCACACAAGTACACAAGCTCTCTGTTGGGGTGGAGGGAAACTGAGGTAGATATTTCTGTTTACCCAATTTCAAAAAGCAAAATCCTCTTGTATTTGGTTCTGAAGCCTGCCATGACAAAAGTAGTGGCAAAGAAATAACATTAGGTTGTGAAGTCTGCCATGACAAAAGTAGTGGCAAAGAAATAACCCATCACTAGAAAGTTCTAATACTTAGATATCCAAGACAATTATGATTATAAAAACAAAAAGATTTACCTTTAACTTAAGAGATTCTCCAAGTAACGTCCCCTTATAATCTGTAGTATAGGTCCAATCATATGGTTTAATAACCTCTTTGGAGTGTTCGCCCTCCGTCCTCGAATACCAAAATGAGAAGATCAGATGTAGGATACAGAGGATCTGTATTCACACACAAATCACGCTCTACGAGTTACACAGATCCCTGCCACACACGGACACCCCACACTCACTAGCACAAGGTCTTGCTCACACTTCTCTGCACTTGCAGTCGCTGAGCTCGCCCTGGGCTGCTGCAGCCTTCCCGTGTTAGTCTAACACGCCCGAGGTCAGGATTTAAAGGCTTATGCGCCTCTGCCTCCTCCAAGGTACCCAGTGCGTCACAGGCATAAAGTACACAGCTACAGATTTGATTACCAAAGCAAATACATTTTTCTTAATTTTAATGCTTATCATTCAAAGCGTATCATAAACACTTTTCCTTAAAAATGGGAGCATGAAAGTACAGCACACTGCCTCTTCACTAAGAAACACGGACTCTTAAGAAAGGAAACGCTACACGGCTCAGAGTGATTGTACTTCAATTTAACTCAGCAAGGATGCAGGTAGTGGGGTACCTTTTACAGGCTGAGTAAAATGAACTCTAGAATGACCCGACTGCAGAGCTTAATAGCGACACGAGCCCGTCACCTGGCAGAACACTCCGGCATCACGACTACTTCTTTACACTCTTTGGTTTCCCCGAAGCTGCCCCGTTCTCACCTGCTCTCCTGCCACTCTTCAGCACAGGCTACTTTAAGCATCCCTTGGTAGTTGTTTACACATCTCAATGCATCTGTGGCATTGAACTCAATACCAAAGCCAGAGCCATGCTGGATCCTTAAAACGTTGTTTCCAAACATCATTTCAGGGAGCGACGGCATATGCAATTCATCGGCTAACCTGGACATAACCAAAAGTCAGGTGAGATCATTTCATACCACTCTTGACGTTTGTCTCCTTTCCATCCCAACAAAACTCTTACTGCATTACTGAGTTAAATGACCTAGCGCTCACAGCCAGCCTCAAAGCCCGATGGTTAAGGAGGCTGGATCCCACAGTCGACTGCAGTTCAAGTTCCAGACCCAGGGGCTTGAAAAACACACTGGGCACGTGGGCATGTGTGTACCAAGTCCCCACGCAGTGGAGAGATGAAGGGCTGGGGCATGACCATGCCCATGGGGGTGCTTCTCCCTCCCTGTGCACTCCTTAGTCTCTTTGGCAAGGTAAAGAAATGAAGGGCTGGGGCATGACCATGCCCCATGGGGGTGCTTCCCCCTCCCTGTGCACTCCTGAGTCTCTTTGGCAAGGTAAAGAGACATGCTGGCTGGCAAGCAGACATGCATGATGTACCAAACACATCTGCGAAATCTGTAACACTTCGTCAGCCTTTCATCTCCTATCCTTATGGCACCATGCTAAGAAGCAGGCTAAACGACAACAAATACACAAATGACAGAAGGTCGGCTAGCTGATAAGTGATGTATAAAAACAAAGCAAGGTCGCTGGGGGGGAGACACTGTTTTAGTAGCAGCAAGAGAGCTTGTGAGACATGTGAGCCTCCAAACGACCTGTGAGCTAAGAAAGGCCGAGACCACAGCACTAAAGGGAGTGGGAGCACAGGCCTTTCCCGACAGCGGGGCCTGGGGCCTCGTGTGGCCAGTCCTGTTAAAGTTAAAGCAGACACACGAAAAAGTCGGAATGACAACTGCTCAGCCTCAGATGTATCTTGACTACACAATATTTTTTTCTAATATTTCAAACAAACACCAACAAATTGAGATTTTATATAATCTGGACTTTTGGTTTATCTTTTAAACAAAAAGGCGGGCCCAGCAACCCTGGAGCTGCGCTGCCCATACAAGCCGGCTGGAGCCAGTCACCTTGACCCTAGAAGGCCGAGTCTGTAATCCTGTCACAAAGTGTGCCCAGGGGCTGCTCGTCTGCTGAGGAGAGGAGCTGTCATGTGGGTTCCGGGCCTTGTGACCGCCCCCTACTCCCCGGCGTGGCCTTAACAGGACTTCTGATGCAGGATGCAAGCTTGGTGTCTCCGAGGCGTTAACTACTGGCTCGCTGGAAGCCCCGAACCTTGGCCTGAGAACTCTGCCCCACACGCTGCTTCTGAACTGCCCCACTCTCCCTCAGAAACCCATGCCAGTGGGGCGCAGTGACCGCTGGGCCACAGTGCTGCAGGAAGAGGGTCGCAGCTCAGCCAGGTCCCGTGGAAGGGACGCCTCTCTCCTTCCCACCCCTTCACTCTCACATGGCATGCACATCATGAACACGGAATTTTAAAAAAACTCAATGAGGCACAGGCCAAGACACGGCATAGAACAGAAGCCCTGAGGCCAAGAGGCGGAAGTGTGAAGCCACAAATGAAGCCACAAAGAAACAAGAGAGGCAGATGAGCAAAGCAGGGACTGACAGCTGGGAGAAGCCCAAGACGTCCACAATGCCTGGGGCCACAAAAACTGCTGCTGTGTCTCTGCTGCCATGCCCGAGTCTCACCTCTTCCTCCTTTACTAAAACCCCACTGCTCGGAGGCCCTGAGCCTCCAGCCTTTGCAACCTCAGGGTGTAACACAGAGGGCCCTGTGAGCAGACTATCTATGTTTATTTGACTGCCTCTGAAAACTTCTAATGTTTTTATAAAGTGTATTTCTTCAGAGACAGAGAGAGCAGAGAGGCACACCTCCAACAGGTCCTCACACTGCTGTCTACACCCAGCCTCCGCCGGCCCGTGTGTTCAGGGAGGTCCCGGACGCGAACACAGGACTCAGCACACGTGAGGCCAGTTTGGCTACTGCCTGGCTCCAACTTTTCATTTTTAATTAATAAAGAAGAATAAGATCCTGGGACCAACAGGTGGCGTGGTGGTTAAGGCGCTGGACACTCCCACATGGCTGACCACGGTTCAAGTCCCAGACGTGGTGGCTTACTTTCTCACTTGCTCTCTGTTTCTCTGTGTCTCTCTGGTCAAATTAAAATAAATGAATGAATAAATAAAATTTAAAAATAAATAATTATTAAAAAAAAAAGAAGAAGATCCCACGGAGCAGCCTGTGGTTTGAGTCCCGGCCCCAGAGGATAAAAAACAAACTGAGGACATACACACACACCTCAGTTTCTAACAGGATGGAGAAATGGAGGAATAAGAACTGCGGCATGACCACACCCTCCCTACTGGGGAATGCTTTCTCTCTAAAAAGAAAACACACCATAGATCCATGTCTCCATAGCACTGCATTTCTCACATTTACTCTTACAGGACAGCTGTACTAGTAATAGCTCTGAAGAAAAGGCAGCAACTGAAAATCCTGTCACCTGCAGGGAAATGACCCGTGGTAAGGCCTGCGAGGCCGGCGGCGTGCAGTGTGTAGCCCTGGACTAGAGTGCTGAGGGCACATGCAGCCAAGATCTGGGTCCCAGGTAGGCCCGCAAACAGCACACCGGGCACCCACGTGGGCATCGGATCCTAAGGAGTGGATAACTGGGCCACGAGACCCACACTCCCTAACGTTAAAAAAAATAGTAAAACGATGGGGATGAAAAAATCAAAAGCCCCAAAGACTAGGAAGGAAACCAGGGCGCACTCCTATGGATTTCCAGAGTTGTGCCAATTTGCACTACACCCTGGGGCAACAGTCAAGCCAAAACTCCAACACTTTAATAAAATGTATACTCTCTGACCCAAAATATCAGCTTTTGGATATCTGTACTGAAGAAATAATCCCAAGTACAGGGGAAAAAAAAAAAAACTATACACATTAATACTCACAGCAGCCTTATTTATAATAGTTAAAAAGAAACACTCTGAACATCCTGTTACAGAGCTATATCCACACTGTGAAATATTACTGAACCATTAAAAATGCTTAGAGATAGTGACCAGCAGATGACACAATGGTTACATCGCTAGACTCCCACAAAGGTAACTGTGGTTCGAGTTCCGGACTTTGCGGCTTAAATTCATGCCAGGTGCATGTGGCTGCATACCTAAAGTCCCGAGGGGAGACTGGAGAAGGGATTGTGGTGTGGCCATCCCCCCACACCACGACTTCTCATTTTCTGTCTCTCTGACCAGCATACGTGCCCTATAGCAAAAATCTCTTTTTTTTTTTTGGAGAGATTTTCACTGTAGGGCACGTGCGCTCGCCAGACAGACAGAGAGAGACATAGAGACAGAAAGCGAGAAATCACCCCCCGGGGGGGATGGTCACGCCGCAATCCCTTCTCCTCCATTCTCCTCTCGGGATCTTGGGCACGCACGCACACGCGCCCAGCGTGAGTTTTAAGCCACCGGGTCCGGGACACGAACCACGGTCGACTACGTGGGAGTCCAGCGACATAGCCATTACGCTAACTGCTGGTTCCCGCAAAAATATCTCTTTAAAAAAAAAAAAAAGCTTAGAGAATAAAATAACATAAAAAATGGGGACCAGCAGTTGGTGTAATGGCTATGTTGCTGGACTCCCATGTAGTTGACCACATTTCAAGTCCCGAACCTGGCTTAAACTCACACCAGGCGCCTGTGCGTGCGTGCCCAAGATCCAGTGAGATTTCTCGCTTTCTGTCTGTCTCTGTCTTTCTGCGAGTGTACCCGCCCTACAGCAAAATCTCCTAAAAAAAAATAAAAATGCTTATAACGGCAGGAAAACACTGCACATCTGTGTATTTATAAGAGCTGCAAATATACTGTGTGCACGTATCAGCGGCCTAACTTTTTTTGAGTTGCACATCTTTAGGACAACACATAACATTAACTTTTCAAGATAAAATTTACATAAAGTTTATTCTTTATTCTGTTAGTAGAAGACAGAAAAACATCAAGCACTTAAAAGAGTAAATAAGGCAGGTTATAACTGGAACACATATCTGACAAGTTTTAACTACTTTACTGAATAATGCATGCCAAATACAAAGAATACAATGTGATCCTGTGGGTTTTTACTCAACATATATGTAGGGCCAACAGAAGTCCTACAAAATATTCCATTGCATATGTAAAGAATCACTGTTACTAACTTACACTGTTTCAAATGTTCTAAATTCAATATATCTTTCTTTTAATTTTTAAAATAATTATTTATTTTATTTATTCACTCATTTCTTTTAATTTGATGAAAGAGCAAAAGTGAGAAAGCAATCCACCAGGTCCAGGACTTGAACCCATGGTCGGCCATTTAGGAGTGACCAGCGCCTTAACCACCATGCCACCTGCTGGTCCCAAAAATCACTTACTAACTTACACTGTTTCAAAAATTCTAAATTCAGAATATCTTAAACACAGGTCAAAATACCCATTTCTGATGGTATGCTTCACCCTTGATATTTAGGTATAACCAGTTATAAGGCAGGAAGATACGAAACTCCTGTGGTTTTAAGATGCCTTAAATATCATTAAAGGAAGCTTCTCTAATTCAATATTACTTAGCATTTAGAGGTTTTTACACATCAGAAAAACAATTTAGGGTGAGTGAGGGTAAGTCTCTGGCATATGAACGAACGACTAAGTGTATCAGAAAGATACATCTTAGAAATAACAAATGAGGCATCTATACATCTGGGATCTGATTCTCAGCTTTAAACTCTCCATGCAGTGGCCAGAAGGTGGCATGGTAGTTGAGCTGGACTCACGTGGCCAACTATGGTTTGAATCCTGGACCCAGTGGCTTGAAAATCACACACAGGGCACAAACGTATGAGTGCTCAAAATCCCAGAAGGAGAAGGGAAGAGAAGGGACTGCGATGAGGTTATCCCCACTGGAGAGTAAATTCTCACTTTCTCTCTGTGTGTCTCCTATCTCGCAAGCACAAGTGCTCTATGACAAACAAAAGAACAAAAAAAAAAAAAAAAAAAAAAAAAAAAATCTCCATGTACACAGCATCTCCTGGAGTCTGCAA